GCTTGCCGGAAAGCACCTTGACCTGCTGAGCCATCCTGCTGGTGCTTCTCTACACTATTAGATCATCTGGGATGAAGGACAAGTTTATTGCCCCTCTTCCTTGTCTTGTTCTTCTGGAGTGTAGGGCAAGCATAGTGAGTAGAGGTTTTGTTGTCTATAGATACTATTTGCTAAATTATCCTTCCCAGTTTCCTCTTACTTTTTGTCATGAAGGGATACTCAATTTTACTAAACGCCTTTTCTAATTTATACAGTTTCCCCTTGTTCTGTGAAGTTAATTTTACATTCCTGTAATAAATCATATCACTTGTAAGGAGTTTGAAATATTTATTTGGTTCAAGTCATTAATTCTTTGGCTTGTGGTTTTCTGTTTTGTAATGCTCTCATCGTAGTGATTTTTAATGTTTATGGGGTGATAGGAATAATACCCTTTTGATTTCTGATATTCACAATATGTGTTTGTCTTTAAAGAAATCCCTTGACTACTCTCATTATGAGTTTATCAATTTTATTTTTAAGGAGTCAACATTTTCACTTCAAAGAATCAAGATATTTTACTTTCTTCTATCATTCATCCACTTTATATTGTTATATTTTATATAATTAGATTTTCATTAAAAATATTTTTATGTGTTTACTGTGTGTGTGAATGCCACACGTGTAGAGGAGGGTGTTGGACTCCTTGAGGCTGGTTGTGAGCCACCTGATGTGGGTGCTGGGAACAGAACTCGGGTTCTCTGCACTAGCAGTAAACACTAATGTCTGAGCCCTCTCTCCCAGTTAGTTAAAAAAAATTATGGCTTTCCTCCTCCTACTTTGGTTGGATTTAACTATCTGCCTAATTTACTGAGATAAAAAGCATAGGCCACCAATTTTAATAATACTTCTTTTGTTATATGTACATTTATAACACAAAATTTCTCCTGTGTACTGTTTTAGCAACTCAGTACTTCACTACTGAGCAGGACAAATTATTCTCTAGCTGACATTTTCATTTCTTGTCTGTCCCATGACTCGGTGAGTCATGTACTACTTTTCATAACTACTGACTGCACAACAACAACAAAAACAAATGTGGAGATTGTATTAGTTATCTTCCTGTCGCTGCCTCTGGTGTGATTCCTCTGTGGTCAAAGACTGTGTTCTCAGGGCTGCAGAGACGGCTCAGCAGGTAAAGGTGCTCGTTATGCAAGTCTTGCAATGCTCGGCGCCTATGTAAAAGCGGAAGTAGTGAACCAAACTATTAAGTTATGCTCTGACCTTTGCAAGAGTGGTGACATGCACCTACCCACAGTCTCACACACCAAATACAGTCAAAATAATTATAGAAATTTTAAGAGAATACACTCTATATGATTTTGATCCTTTTTCATTTTGGTGTGCTCCAGAGTCTAGCATAAGGGCTAAGATGGTACTTATTTTGTGGTCTGAATGGAAATGACCCCCATAGGCTCATAGGGAGTGGCGTTATTGGAGGCGTGGCCTTGTTGGAGCAGGCGTGGCCTTGCTGGAGAAGTGTGTCATTGGAGGTGGGCTTTGAGGTTTCAGAAATTCAAGCCAGGCCCAGTGTCTCTCTCTCTTCCTGCTGCCTGATGATCCAGATACAGAACTCTCAGCTCCTTCTCCAGCACCATGTTTTCCTGTGTGCCCCATGCTTCCCACCATAACAATAAGGGACTAAACCTCTGGACTGTAAGCCAGCCCCAATTAAATGTTTTCCTTATTAAGATTTTGCTGTGGTTATGGTGTCTCTTCACAGCAATAGGAACCCCAACTAAGACACCTTGTAATACTGTAGAGTTGTTGGCTGCAGTTTCCAAAACATAAATCAGGTCAAGCTGATTAATAATGCTAAAAAAAAATTCTTTATTTTCACTCATTTCTATCTGCTTCTTCAGTATGCTACTTGGAGGCATGACTAGAATTTCCAAGTAGGCTTCGCAATTAGTCTGTTTCCTGAAACCTTTAGATTGGTCCATTTCTGCTTATATATTTAGAACGTACATTATTAGACGCATTCAAATTTAGGGCTGCTGTGACTTCTCTTCTGATGGAGCCTCTTATTCAAAAGGTCAGTCTTTCTTTGGAATACTTGTTGCCTGTCATATCTGACATACATACTGGCTACCAGCTAATTACGGTAGTGTTTATAAGGTTTACAGTTTCCTAACCCTTCACTTTCAACCTTTTCTCGTCAGGTTTATTTTAAAAATAATTCCCCAGCATTTGGCAGGACTGATTAAGGTACTTTCGAAGGATAAGCTTATTTTAAGATGTCGCACTTTCCACATAGGAGCTCATAATCACACTGTGTGCACGGTTTATTTTGGGGAGTGTAGGAGTACATGGGAGTGCCTTTCCTGTTTTGTTTTTTCTCTTTCTCTTTCTCTTTCTCTCTTTCTCTTTCTTTCTCTTTCTTTCTCTTTCTTTCTTTCTTTCTTTCTTTCTTTCTTTCTTTCTTTCTTTCTTTCCTTTTTCTTTTTCGAGGAAGCTCTTGAAACACCAAATACTGTTTAACATGGTTTTGAGGCTTCTGAGTAAAAATGATCTAAAAGTCTTTTGCAAAGAAAGAAACTTAATGGTAGCGAACAATCTCTCTGGCCACTGTGCTAATGGCTAAGATCTAAAAAGCAATATAGAACCCACAGGCAGGTGAGGACTCTGAGACCCAGATCTCCACCCGATGGCAGAATAACGCTCTCAAAGCTTCTGCCATGTACAGCTCACCTCTTCTGCTCACAGCGCAGCGCACAGCATCTTCTAACAGTATACATGCTGCTCGTCTGTTTTCATTACTTATTATAACGAAGCACCAGAAGCAGGCAAAATTTATAAGGCAAAAAAATCTATTCTAAACAGTACAAGAGGTTTAGGAGCCACCAAATGGTGTGATGGGCATGGAAAATTTGCTACAAGTCATCAGCAAAGGGCTACAGCTATGGTTCACCGGCAGGGTGCTCGCCTAGCATGCGCGAAGCCTCTGCTTAGCTTACCATGCACGGGACACTGAGGTTCCCAGCCTCAGCCCCAGAACAAAAAAAAAAAAAAAAAAAAAAAAAAAAAAAAAAAAAAGAGCAATCACTTAGGGATACCCTCTGTAATGCAGGAATAGTAGCAGGAAATGGACTTCCTGTCAAAGGAGATGCTAAAGTCCACACGGGAAAGGACACACGGCAAAAGTTCAGGGTTAGGCAGCCTACCCTAGACCAGGGGTCGAGAAGTGTGTGTCTGTTTTGTCTAAAAGGGACACAGACTCTGAAACTTACCAGGGCTGTTTTGGCCAATGCAGAAACCTGTCCAGTGGGCAACACTTAAACCAGAACTCCAAGTTACTCTTTACATTGTTAACTTGGTTGCCGGCTTCAGAGACAGCAAGGAACCTTCTGACCACAAAACTGCCAGAAAACACTGTTTAAGGAGAGGTTTTTAAAATAATAACAGCAAAAATTACTATTGCTTGTATGTGTATGCCTGCACGTATGTCTAAGCACCATGTATGTCTGTTAGCACTTGGTGTCTGAGGAAACCATAAGATGACATTGGATGCCCTGGAACTGGAGTCTGTAGACAGCTGTAAGTTGCCATATGGACGTTGGAAATTGAACCCAGGTTCTCTGGAAGGACAGCCCCTTAACTGCTGAGGCATCTCAGCTGCTGGTTTTTTTTTTTTTTTTTTTTTTTTTTTGGTTCTTCGAGACAGGGTTTCCCTGTGGTTTTGGAGACTGTCCTGGAACTAGCTCTTGTAGACTAGGCTGGTCTCGAACTCACAGAGATCCCCCTGCCTCTGCCTCCCAAGTGCTGGGATTAAAGCGTGCACCACCTCTGCTTGGCAGCTGCTGTTTTAATAAACAACAAAACCACAGATCTAGCTTCACTCCTAGAAATGTCTTGTCAGTCCTCCCAGAGGCAACAGGGTGGGGAGCACTGAGGTACTTAGCAAGGTCACTGCAGGTAAGCACATTCATCAGACCGCTATGGCTTGGTGGTGTGGGACATGAATGACAGGGATATTACTTGTACCTGGCACAGTCATTTACCAGGAAAACTATTCCCTGCCTCAGCTGATTTGTCTAGGCTGTATGCTAGGGAAGAGATGACACCATCCTCCTATCAGCTTGGTATTCTCTTCAAAGTCAAGTCTGGGGGCTACAACCCAAAATCTCAATAGCACAGAATGAGACAAAAACATTTATATATTATATTTTTTCATTTGTCTTTCTTTTTTTGAATGTTTGGTGTGCATATATGTATGATTATTTGCATGTAAGTGTAAGGGGGGGGGTCAGAGGTTGATGCCAAGGGTCTTCCTTAATTGTGTTCTACTTAAAAAAATTTCTTTTAGACAGGGTCTTACTATGAACTTTGGCTGGGCCAGCACTCACTGTGTAGACCAGGGTGATCTCATACTCGTATAGGTTAGCCCTCCTTTGCCTCCTGAGTGCTGGAATTAATGGTATATACCACCATACCTGGTGATCATTCCCTGCCTTGTTATTGGATCTGGAGCTTGCAGGTTCTAGTTGTCTGGCTAGCCAGCTTGTCCTGGGGACCCTCATCTCTGTCTCCTGAGTATTGGGCTGTCGATGGCCACCACACTTGCCCAACTTTTTAATGAATTTTGGGGACTTAAGTTCTAGTTCTCACACTTGTGTGTTTTTACCTACAGAGCTATCTCTCTAGCCCATGTGTACTGTATTTTTCAAAAAGACTTCTCATGATTGTTATTTTAGTCTTATCTGACAGAATGATTTATTTACTATTTTATTTGTCATTGTATTCTGATCTAACACAATGGGGCAGAAAAATGTAGCTTACTGTTTGCATATGACATGGGAAGTGACTCTCAGAAAAGATAATTTGCTTTTGGTCTCAGATTTGGCTACAAGGCTGCAGAGTCAGAGCTGAACCCAGACCTCTCACCAGATGAAGTGGCCTCTTTTCCCCCAGGCATGCACTGGCAGGCTGCAGCTCAGGGGTGTGAAGCTGACTCCAGCACTTACCTGCTGATCCTGTAGCTTGACCCCGACTACTCTGAAGGTGTTGCTGGCAGTGTTGTGGTAAATGTTGATCCGGCTGAATCCCTGCTGGCCAGGCTTGATTGGTACCCATTTCTTACTGGTGTCATCGTACACCATCACGGAAGCCCGCGCTTGGCAGATACTCTGTTCACTGCAGAAAGAAGGAAATCTGCAGTGTCATACCTGGCTGTGGTGGATGAATGCAGGCCCTGTCCTTTTCTGGAACAGAGGTCAAAGGCAATATCACATAAACTTGCTGCCAGAACTTCTGTCCGCAGCAGTGTTGTTCTGTGATGAGTTCGTCACCCAAAAAAGGCTACGCAAGTAGACGAGTATCTGCCAAAATACCACAGCTTGGGAGGCTCACAGCTTTTGCTTTGCAGGGAGGAGTGCTTGAAGGAAGGAGGACTTATTATTAGTTCGTTATTATAAGCCCTGTGTTAAGTCATATAATGAATCTAAGCACTGCTCACTCAAAGCTTACAAAGTGGCTGCCAATTACCTGCATCTGGTAAAGAGGAAAGAGTGGCTGAGATGCTGGAGAGGACTCCCATGAGTTTATCAGGTACCCAGGCATGGAATTTCAGACACCCAGCCAGTTCTGTTGAACTTACAGACACTTGGCAAAGTACTTTCACCTGTTCAGAATATGCAGAAGCATTCTATGGGGAGGTAAAATGTCACCACTAAAATGAGCACATGAAGACACTGGCCAGCGATTTAGTTCTCAGAGCCCAAGAATCTTGAACACAGGCTTCGTGGCACGTAAGGATTACCAAATTGAAAAGGTAAGAAATGGCTGACAATTGCTTGGAAAGGAGACCATGCAGGACAACAGCAGACTAGAAATAAGGTCTACTCCATGCAGGGTAACAACGGAGAAGTGAATGGGTAAATTCATCATAGGGACCAGACCAAGCAGGCAAGAACAATGTCACACTGGGTTCATTTTATCACAGTAAAGGCAGGGAACCAAAATATTTGGAAAAACAGCCTTGTGCCCAGCACCAGCACAGAAATGGTGCTTTGAAGGATTAGTTAGTCGGTCCTCTGTGGCTCAGATCCGGTGCTTTAGAATATGGTTATTACCTTCGGGTAGAGTGTATACAGCAAGTGTCTAATAAGTGCTCACTGGAGACTCTCAGAGCTGAAAAGAGCTCCAGATATAAGACCAATCTCCATCACATTCAATAAAGCAGTCCTGACCACACACAGCCAGCCTTTGACTAACTGGGCATTGACTGACTCTTCTCTAAAGAGGCCTGTTGGTGGCTGAATGACTGATTTAGATAGCCCTCCTTGGATTCAGTACATTCTGCTCCTTGCTTTCCAGTCACAGCCCATGGCAGCCCAGTAGACCACTGAAGAACATCTTGGTCTTCCTACCCATCACCTCATTTGCCCTTCCAGTAACTCTCTTCAACTGACTCCCTTATTTACCACCTTTTCTTCTAGAATGTGGCAGATCAAACCGGGTGGGTGTTAACTTTAGCACAGATGCCCGTGAGTCAAAAAACAGGTGACTAGGGCAGTGGCTGCTGCCTTGCAGGAAGCTTACAGATAGGAATCAGACAAAGAACTGCAAACCTTACTCAGGCAAGAGAACTTGGGGCAGCCAGGGGAGACTCACGAAGAAAGTGGTTTGGGGTTAAAGATGTGTGTTTAGCTCCTAGATGAAGCAGACAGGAGTCTAGGCAGAGGCAGAGGCAGGAACCACACAGTATGCAAAGAGCTGCAGCCCCCCAGAGTGGGTACAATGTGTCTGGGTTATCATACACTATTCAGGGGTCTTAGGACGAGAGAGAAAAGAAATAAGGCACTTGCATTGGGCTGTCATGTGCTGGATACTTTAGCGCCAATGGCAATTTTAGTTACTCTAATGATAGCCACAGGTGCCTATTTCCTTTTTTGTTCTTTGGCTGTTGTTTTTAACACTTGGGTTCAAATTAAACTTGTGGTTAACCAAAAACCCAGTTTTTTTTCCTTCTCTCATTTGAATGACACCTTTCTGTCTCTCATTTTATTGCTACTTAAGTCTAAATGAAAATAAAAACACATTCGTCTTGCCATTTACATTGCTAATGTGGACTTTTATTATGCCTTGGAGTTGGGAGGGGGTAAAATCCTGACTGCTATGCAGCTGTCATTGATGCTGAATTCTAGCTGTTCAACTGCCTTCTCAGCTCATTCACTTGAATGACTACACACACACACTCCAAGGGTGTGGTGAACTTATATCTAACTCAGCTATCATTTGAAGAAACCTGATAGTTTCAGATTCTATTAAAAGACATTTACTAAATACATGGCTGAAATTTTAAAATAGACAAATAAAATGACTTTCTGTAAATAAAAAAGGCTTCCTATTTCCGTCTCAACAGGTCCCTGGGTTAACTCAGGCCAGCATGCCCATGGCCTCAGGGCTCCATGGCCCTGACGAAATTCAATCCCCACAAAGCTGGAGAGGAATGATGAGGGTGATCTCATGAGGTCCCAGTATCTTATAGGCTTTTTATATGAACATACTCTATGTGTGTGAGTGTTTGAGGGGTTGACAGCTTTCCCCCGGGACACATCACAGGTCACGCTAAGCCGTGTGTGCAATGTCCAGTGAATGTCCCTGGCAGAAGGCAGGATGGCAGCTCAATCTCATTGCCATCTCGGCTCTTGTAAAGAGTGTAAAAATACGTGAGTCTGTAGTTTCAAAGTGCCCTCAAGACACACTCCAAAGCAAGCTTCAAACTGCACTTTTGTGGGAGAGGAGGAATACAGCATTTCATCACGAGCTGAGCAGCTGCCTCTTTCAGACTATATACCATAGACTACTTTTGAATGTTTGTTGCTATCTCGTATCTCTCTTAAAAACACAAGCAAAACACACCACACATTTCTAATATGATTTTGAAACCTAATCATGTACTTGGGAAAGGCACAGGACTTGGTTGCACCTGTCTGATTAGAGACACGTGCTCTCCTTTTCTCAACCACAGCACTTGTGTGTCCTGATTCTCAGTGTCTGTCCCCTAGACTGTGAGCTCTTGAAGGTACAGACTCTTCTTTTTCTCTTGTTGAAACTGGTCCCCAGCAGCCAGTGCGCAATAGCAATCAATTACTGAACTTACTGACTCTAAGAGTTTGGGAGAAAAGGGACCCTTGTGATTGTGTGCTAAGGGACATTCCAGCAGCGCGTCTAACCCCACTTACTCTCAGAGACAGTGTGGCCACTAACAGCATCTGCCACAGACCACCGAGCAGACTCCTGTGCTTCACAAGGGGCTAGGATAGGAAGTACAACTTTGAGGATGGTCAACCACACAGAGGGAAGCTGCTGAGGCTGTCAGCTGCCTCTGCCCAGCCCAGGAGGGCACAGCAGGATAGGGATGCTGTGTGGACTACTCCCTGGGGTAAGAATCGGCAGCCTTCACCCAGAACTGATGTACTTGCCCTGCTCAGGCCCAGTGTGCTGGCTTGATGGTCTCTGTCGGACAAAACAGCTCACCACTTGGTTTGGAGGTTTGTTTTATCTTACCAGCAAGCCCATGTGGCTCAGGGGCTTCCCAGGAGGTAGGGCATTCCCTATGGAAACTGGAACAGTCCAGGCACACTGGCACAAGGTGGTCACCCTAATGGTAGCTCACGGTTTAGAAATGTAATCTTTCACTCAGAGGACACACCTAACAAACACCAGTGGGCTGGCCTTTACTCCCAGTGGCTCCCCTCCAGCTCCTTTCTTCCAGCAAGTGGATGGTTGACGTTCAGCATTAGTCCTCCGTTCTCCGAATGGCTGTTGGAGCTGGCTTCCAGTCCTGAGGATACATGGAAGGGAGTCTCCCAAGTCACCTGACTGCTCCCGGAGACTCAAACGCTGTCTTTAGTTTTGAAACCTCTCCTGACTAACTCCTGCTTCTCTGAGATGGTTATGGTGATTCATTTTTTTCAGCCTTCATCGTTTTGAGTCTACTACAGTCCTCTTCTATCAGGTTCTCTAGCTGGGGCCAAGGAAAGGCGTGATGTGTCTAGGAACCTCTGACATAATTTGTAAAGGTGAGGGTGTGTGAAGTTTGCCTTGGCCATGCCCTCAAATGGGTCCCTGTTTCAAGTCACTTTTAAAGCTTACCTTAAAACCTGATGCTTCCCAAATGTCAGCTATTTGATTCAGCTCTCAAAACTGTGCACACTGTTAGACTAACAAGGTGCTTGTTACAAGTCCCCAGATCCCCTGTGTGCTTCTGGCTCAGTATGGGTTTCAGGTGGAGCCTGGGTCTCTACATGATTGCAGATCTTGTGCCTACGATCCTGAAGGAGTCTCCTCACAGTTCCTGCCCACAACCAGGGTTCATGGTGATCACCAGTGTGTCGAGAGGTCCTGGGTTAATGAAGCTCTGACCCTAACTACGGGCTAAACCTTAAGTACTTCAAAACTCAGCATGCTCAGCCTTCACAGTGTCTCCTGCTATTACAAAGTGCCAGCAACCCTGCCTCAAGGCCATGCTTGACACCTGAGAGTCACTTGAGATACTTACCTCTTGGATCCCCGCCCTTTGTGGCCAACAGGCCAACTGTTGGACTTCCTAAACATATCTCAAATATACTCTCTCTTGTTATTTCTCCCCCGTACCACCATGATATAATAGCTTTCTGGCTACTTTCCTATCTCTGGATTCCAGTCTCCTGAGTCCCAACATATCTCTCACGAGGTCACAGAAAGACTTCAGAGGCAGATCGGCCTGCCTCTTTTCAAGCCTCACTGGGAACTTGACCACTTACAGCTATTATGACCTCAGACAAATTGCTTGTCTGTAGCTCATCTTCCTTCAATTATCTGCTCTCCTTCCTCTTTCCTCATTTCTCTGGTGGGTTACCTGACGGAACTGAGATAGACACTGCGTCAGCATGTAAGGCACAGCCTCGGAGTGAGTGTGTTACCACCCAGTTTCTGGTAGTTCCTCAGAACCCTTCACATTCTAGCCTCCCAATTGAGCCCCTCCCCCACCTAATCTGGCGAAAACATTCAGGGTTCCTAACAGGTGCTCTTTCTGTGGCCTTTCTAGACCAGTTCATTCTGATCTGTCTAGGATACTCGCTCCAGTGGAACTGACACAAGTAATTCCCATTAATCTGTAAAGAATTCAGACACCTTATCTTTCTTTTGAGATAGGGTCTCGATGTGTAGCTCTGGCTGGTTTAGAACTCACTACGTAAACCAAGCTGTCCTCTGCCTGCTGAGTGTGGGGATTAAAAGTGTGTGCCACCATGTGTGGGGTGTTTTACTTTGCAAAAAAGCCCTAAGTTGAAGTGAGAGAGGATCCTTCTTTGAGCTCCACCCTCATGTCCCAAGCCTACCACCTAAATGTTTTCCTACAAGCTACTCCAACAGCTGTCTAGTTTAGGTCTCTCTGTTAGACAATGCCTCCTGCCAGGTTCCCCTAAGCAGTGATTTAAAAGATGTAGGCCATAGTTCCATTCCCACCTTGGGAGGACCGGGACAACAGGGCAGACCCATGGAATTTCTCTTCTCCATGTCCTGGAATTGATGTTGCCCTGCCTAGCACACTTCAGCGAGGAAGGTTAGGCTGTGTCTGGTTTTACCAGCAATGCTTGGCAGAAAAAGCATCCCCAGAACATTTGGGTCTTTAAAATGACTTCACTATTACTCAAGTAATTAAGAAAACTATTTCTTAAGATGTGTTCTTCCTACATCCAGAGGTCTGACTCAAAACTTAGATGAAGGGCTACTGCCTTGAGAAAACTCCTGTCCATTCATTCCTGCTCACTTGACAGCGGCTAAGAGTAAGGCATGCTGCCTTGCACGAGTCCGTCGTGAGGATTACGATCCAGGATCTAAACCAGTGCTACAGTGACTAACAGACACATACTGGTGTCACTCATGGCCCCAGGAGGTGTTTCTGTGTCTGGTCCCCCCACTGGAGGTCCCATGAGTATCTGATCACTTTGGAGCTTTAGAAAAGCTATTTAGAGCTGGGTGGTGGTGGCACACTCCTTTAATTCCCTCAGGAGGCAGAGGCAGAGGCAGAGGCAGAGGCAGAGGCAGAGGCAGAGGCAGAGGCAGATGGATCTCTGTGAGTTTGAGGCTAGCCTGGTCTACAAAGTGAGTTCCAGAACAGCCAGAGCTGTTACAGAGAAACCCTGTCTTGAAAACAAAACAACAAAACAAAAACAAAAAGCTAGGTCATATGTGCCCCAGGACTGGAAGTTTCTGGAAGTCAGGGCACATCTGAAATGCCAGACTCCTACTCCATATTCACTTGACAGAAACCAGAGCCTTTGACTTGGCATCCCAGAATTAGTGAGTGGTGGAGTGTGTGGTGACAATAAATAGGACCAGACTCTGAGGCAATGCAAAAAGCCCCGACTTGTTTGCTTTCTACATATAACACCAAAAGTGACCCTAAAAGTGGCTGAGACCATCAATAAAGAAGCCCCCTGCAGCTGGGAGTCCCCCAGCTAGGAAGTCTCTCATAAGAGCAGATTTGGTGGCTCTAGGATGGAGCAGGGGTCCTGCTCAAAAAGGCTGTGGGTAAAGCGAACAGGGGTCTTAATTCCAACCTCTCCGGAAAGCTATCACATGCTCTTAGATGGCAGAGCATCGCATGGCAAAGTCTGCAATAATTTGGTGTGCACTCAAAACCACCGCTGTGAAGTTGTCATTCCGTTTATGGGGAAATGTCACTGGATAGGAGCCCATCTGGAGGCTTCTTCCAGCCCCCCTCACTGTCCTCATTACCCTCACATGCTCCGCCTGCTCTGCTCGGCTCCCACCACTCTACTCTAGCTGCTTCCTCCAGGGTCTCACCCTTTCTCATCCTCAAAGCCGGGGTTAAGACACAGTACCAGCATGGTACCTCTCCACACGGCTCTTTTTCTTATGATGAAACACACACACGTGTGCCAGGCTGGAGTCAGAAAGCAAGGTCTAGCCCCAGCTAGCTCACCATTCTTCCACACACAGTGGAGGTGCATGGGTGCACGTAACAGAAGGCACTCGGGTAATGACCGTGCAGTGAGGTTGAGAAGGCAGGAGAGAAGTGAACCACATGTGATTAGTGCCCCGCTAAGGGCATCCTGAATAAGGAAAACATCTGTTCAGAGAAGCAGTAAACTGCCACGCGCTATGCTTTCAGGTAGACTGGGTGGGTATGCAGCTTCCTTCCAAGTGTCTGTGTATAGCCACTATTGCCTCTTACTCTTTCAACCCCCAAGGAGACATGTGGTGGGACAGGTTCTTCACCGGGGCTTGGGTCCTGTCTTTGTGGAGCATCCCAGGTGCACCAGAGAGTATCTTGGAGGTCCACTGCAAAGATTCTCACCCTCAGGCCTCACTAGGAATTCTGTGCTGGGTCTCTAAACACTGGGGCTGCTGCATGGATTGTTGTTTCTGACTAGAACCCAAGGTCCTTAAGACAGGGTGTCGGCTTGATTTTCATCTCTGTGGCTCCAGCCATTGGGACCAAATGATTGCTCAGCAAATGCATGCTGGCTTCTAGGTGTGCAGAGTTCTACTGGGTGTCCTACTTCTTGGTGTTCACAGAGCTTTCTGTTGGGGATGACAATGCACTTGGTGTCTGGCTATCTCTACTTTCTTTCACTACACTCATTTAAGACATAAACCACGCAAACACTCTATTTACTGAGTACAAATCAAATCCGTTTCCATGCTTAGTTCTTACAAAGAAAAAAAATCCGCTACCGGTCAGAGAAAGGTGTGGCGGTTCCTCTGCCCAGATGGAGCAAGTGCATGTGTGAACATACCGGGTCCTAGTGCAAGATGCCGCCCGTGGAACTGTCTTGGCGGGAGAGAAGCTCTTCTAAAGAAATACTTTCCCCCTCCATTAGCTTTCAAAAGGTTAAACACCCAACCTTAAAGAATTAAAATTTCCCTAGGAACCCTCTAGCAGGGAAAAGGAAAGACTGTGTTGGTCAAAGAAGGAACTGGCCTCCTATTGGAGTTTTTTTTTTTTTTTTTTTTTTTTGGTTTTTTTTCGAGACAGGGTTTCTCTGTGGCTTTGGAGACTGTCCTGGAACTAGCTCTTGTAGACCAGGCTGGTCTCGAACTCACAGAGACCCGTCTGCCTCTGCCTCCCGAGTGCTGGGATTAAAGGCGTGCGCCAACAACGCCCGGCTCCTATTGGAGATTTTATAGTTCTAACAAATCATCAGATTGCAGGAAAGGCCTGAGTAAAACAGTGATAGGTAACTGATGGGCCTTGACCAGGTTGGCTTAATCACCCATTCCTCTTGCCCTTATTTAAACCTAATCTGAAGATAGTGCCCTCAGAATTAATTGGAGGGTCATTGAACATCTTTATTTGTTCCTTTCCCTGATGTGAACACAATGAACAAATCTCCTTTCTTTGCTTCTCACTACTGTCTGTTTAACCGGCATACTCAGGTGGACCTAGCTATTAGAGGAACCAAACTCATAAGGTCTCTGGTAACACCAGGGTCAGAAGCTGGTCCATTTAATGCTGCCCAAGGGATCACAGGAGCTTCTGTGAGGGAGAAACAAAGCCAACTGAGAAGGGAAGGGAGCCGGTGATGGGGGCAGTACTGGGCACAGAGCCCCTTCACTCTCTAGGAAGCACTGCTTCCCAACACCTCCTCCAGGGGGATGACAAAATCTGCATCACATTACCATGTCCTGTTCAGCAACTGAGAAACACCTGGATCAGAGTAACTGACAAACATCTGTTTTAAGAGTTTGTTTTCCAAGGGGGAGACAGGCTTCCTGAAGGACAGTGCCTGCTCATGGCTGTGCTGATGTACAAAAGGGCCTTACCTACACTACAGTC